CTGTGTTCATCCAGCCCTGCACCTTGTTGTCTATATCTTTTTGTAGCCTCCTTATGTTTTCACTACTTACTTTCCTATCATTGTGCTATCAGCAACTTTGGCAACTATACCTTCTGTCCCTTCATCCAAGTTATTTACATGCATTGTAAAAAGCTTGAGGTCCCAGCACCATTCTCTGCGGCACACTATTTTTTATATGCTGGCAACCTCATAGAAATCCATTTATACCTATTCTCCACTTCCTGTTGGTTTGCTAGTCTTTTATTTATGCCAATAAACGATCTCTACACCTTAAACTTTTAGTGTCTACAATAATCATAATAATGTACATCTCTGGTTTCCCCTTTATCCACAGCGTATGTGACCTAAAGTCATTAAGTCATAGACATCTACAGCACAGGAAAGGCCCATTGCATCCACACCAGTCAAAAGCAACCTATCCTACTTTCCAGCACTTGGCCCATAGCCTTGCATGCCTTGATATCACAACTGCACGTATAAGTACTTCTTAAACATTATGAGGGTTTCTGCTAAACATGTTTCTGGATTTTCTGAGGAATGGCAATCTCATGCAGATTGTCACCTCACCCCTTTTTTTAAGCAACAAGACAACCACCACATTTCTGACAGGAGATTCCGATTGAGGCTTCTTCAGAAATATGGAACTGTATTTCCATTCTGACAGTTCTCACACAGTGCAGAACTATCGGGGGAAGAAAAAACTATGCCCCTTTTCACAGCAGTTAGCTGCTGGATTCTGAAATTTGAAGATCCAAAATCTCACAGAACCACTTTGACAACTGCTGTCAAGTGCAAGTACTTAAGGGCAAGTATGAGGATAGAGTGGAAAGAAAGGCTCATCAGGTAAGTAGGTGTGATGGGTCCAGAGTGCAGATGTGGGGAGTATTGAAGATATGTGGGGAGAAAAGGTTGGGGGGGAGGGGCGGTGCTGCTGGTGCTTGCGTGAGGAAAGGTAATCAATTCCAGATTGTGACTGAAGTGTGGGAAGAGTGGGGAAAGTGGATGCACATCAAATTTAGACTGGGAAGAGAATGGCAGTGGTTCTGGTTTGGGGAAAGGTGAGTGGTGGGTTCAGAGTGGTGGTGTGTCCCAGGGAAGGGGAAGCCAGGTCCTGAAAGTGGGGTTGTAGAGAGACCGATTGGGTCCTAGTGGGTTTTGTTGGGGGGAGTGCATATGCCAAGCTGAGGCAAGGACAAGTGAAAAGCTGCAGAATGGGGAAACTGGGGGCTGAAACCAGGGTGAAGGTATGAGTCTGGAGCAGATGACGGGGTTTTTGAATCCAGAGTGGTGCAGTGATGTTGGGTCCTGGGTGGATAGAGTGAAGTGTCAGATTAGGTTCTATGGAATGTAAATGGTCTGGGGAAGGTGTAGTTGGTGGTGTATGAGGTATGGGGTCAGTTGAATGATTACTTAGGAGTTTGACTGTAATTAATAGTTTAACTTTTTCTGACTAATTATTCTATTAATTTCATCAGAACCCTCTTCATTTTGTGATTTAAATGGATATTTTCAGAGGATTCCAAGCAAAAGGAATTGTACAATGGAATTTTCAATTTCCCAGGCAATTCTTTTGGAGTCTGCTACCATGAGGATTCTGCAGGGTTCCACTTGTAATTTCCATCCACACGAGAAAAACAGCTGTCTGACCATCAGAAAATCCTGCCCATGAACATCCTTTCACAAAACCATATTGACTCTGCCTGATTACTTTGAACTTACCTAAGTGCCCTGTTATAACTTATTTAATAACATGTTCTAACATTGTCCTTGTGACAAATGCTAAGTTTATTACTGTTTCCTGCTTTCTGCAGCTGTCCCTTTTGAATTAAAGAGCTACATTTGTTATCGTACAGTATACTTGGGGATCTAAGAGGTTTTGGAAAATTAAAACCAATGCATAAACTGTCTCAATAGCTTCTTCCTTTAAGATCCTATAATGTTATCCATTAAGACTCCGGCACTTAAGGAAACAAAAATCAACTGACATGTGCTTATAGGTGATTTGAACATAGTTGAAAACATCCAAAGGCTGTTATTGGCTAAAATTTGATGGGGAAATGTAAGGAGAGTTTAAACCGGTAAGCTGAAGGCTTGATTGCCAATGATAGAAAGATCTAAATTAAGGAAGCACAAGGAGCTAGAAATGGAGAAATGCAGAAATCTTGGTAGGTTCTATGTCATAAGAAATATGGAAGAGACAAGGCCATTGAGGAATTTAAAAATAAAGATGAGCATTTTAAAATCATGGCATTCACAGATGGGGAGCCAGCGTAAGTCAGTGAACACTGTGATGACTGATGAATGGGACAAGTTATGGTAGTGGGGCCAGAATTTTGGATTATTTCAAGATTACCAAGGATATCTGAAGGAAGACTAGCCAAAACTGCAGACACAATGGGCTGAATTGCATCACTCTATGTTGTAAAATTGATCTTTTGTTTATTCCAATGAGCTGTGTCTGAAGATGGGTCCTTGTCTCATTGCCAATTCTTCACCCTGAGCATTTTCTTTGGTGTTTCATTTTTCTCACTAGTGGGTTTTCATTGCTTTCCATTCTCAGAAGGTAAGTGCCAAGTCAATCTCAGCTGGCACAGGAATCAAAACTGTGTCTTTTCCTAACTAAAATCAGTTCTGATGAATGGACCCAAAAAGTTAACTCTGCTTTCTCTCCACAGATGCTGCCAGACCTGCTGAGTTTTCCAGCAATTTCTGTTTTCATTTCTGATGTCCAGTATTTGCAGTTCTTTGTCTTTTTTTCATTTAATGTTAACTCACTACCACATCTCTTCCTGGTACACCCACCCAGATGAATTTCTGTCTCTCTCTCCAACAGAATTTCCATTCTAATCTTTTTGCTGGTTAACTGTTAACGACAGTTCTGTCACTTCTGGTGTTTGACAAGGTATTTCATAGATCACAGCATCCCTACAGTGTGGAAACAGGCCCTTTGGCCCAACAAGTCCACGCCGACCCTTAGAGCATCCCACCCAGACCCATCCCCCTCTAACCCACCTAAGCTACATGTCCCTGAACACTACGGGTCAATCCACCTAACCTGCACGTCTTTAGACTGTGGGAGGAAACCAGAGCACCCAGAGGAAACTCACGCAGACACGGGGAGAATATGCAAACTCTACACAGACGGTTGCCCAAGGGTGGAATTGAACCCGGGTCCCTGGCGCTGTGAGGCAGCAGTGCTAACCACTGAGCCACCGTGCGGCCCCAGTATTTGCCAAAACTTGCTTTCCATAACCACATCACTTTCCTCAGTGATGGCCTCCAACGCAGACTCACTCCATGTGGATTCTAACTGAAGTTTCAATCTTCATGTTTTGAATCCACCCAGGATCACAGGTATCTCTGTGTTGTACAATGCTCCTCAGACATCTGTTCTTGTTGCATCCTGAGATCCGCATGTAGTGTCATGCGTCACCATGTGCATGCTGACTTCTTTCTCCATCAGCACTGCCATATGCTGGCTAAGAGCTCATTCAACATTCTAACAACAAAGTTTTTCTTTCCTTTCAGGTATTACAGGACAAAACATGCAACAATTCAGAGATACCCATGCCCCTCTGGAATCTTCCTCCCCTCCCCATCTTTCTGTCTTCATTCCCTTTCCTAACCCCACCCCCTCTAATGTAGTTACCTTCTGACCTTCCCTTGCTAAGGTTGACACGTTCTGTACTCAGCAAACATCTTAGTTTTGCTCCCCCTGCATAACCACTGCAAGAATTTCAGACACGACATGGCATTGAACTTTTCTTCCATCGCTTCTGCCTCTGTGCCTATTTCTTTGGACAAGAAGTCCCTCCATGTCCTACACATGCCTTCACCCACCTCCAACACCCTCCCTCCACCTGGACACTTCCCTCTGGCCCTTTAACTGCACTCAACCTGTTCATCGAGAACTGTACAGGTGACATTGGTTGCCTCAATTTCTCTGCCACACACTCTCTTACCCATCTGATGCTATCTCCCTCTGAAATGACTGCCCTCCATGCTCTCAGATCTAACCCTGACGTTATAATCAAATCTGCTGGCAAAGGTGGTTCTGATGTCTGGTGTACTGATCTCTATATTGAAGGAGGCTGAGCACCAGCTCTTGGGCACCTCCTTCTATCTCCCCCTGGACCATGACCCCACCCTTGAATACCAAGCTATTGTGTCCACAATGGTCACTAAACTCATTTTACCTGGTGATCTCTCCCCACTGCGTCCAAGCTTATAGTACTCCTAACCCCGCACAGCCCACTTCTACTTACTTCCCAAAATCCACTAACAGGACCGCCCCTGAGTATGTTGTTGCCTGCCACCACCAAGTTCCCTGGCCATCATCTCTCTCAGGTTTGCTGCAGTGCTCCAGTGAAGCTCAGCACAAGCTTGAAGAACAGCACTTCATTTTCTGCTTGGGGACCCTGCAGCCTTTAGGTCAATATCGAGTTCAATAATTTTAGGGCCATAGCATCTGCTCCCATGTCCTCACCTGAAACCGAAACACCAGACTTGCTATTACAAGGGCTGCTACCACAAACAGCCCAAAGTCAGCTATGATTCCCTTTAGCAGTTATTCATTCTCCTAGGCTGACCTTTACCCATTCCTTTGTCTGGGCTCCATTTCCACCTATCATTCACTTCTTTACCCCCACCCCATCTTCAGCATATATACCAAACGTTTCCTAGCTAAAATCAGTTCTGAAGAAGGGTCAGTGGACCAAACGTTAACTCTGTTTTCTCTCCCCAGATACTGCTAGACATGCTGAGTTTTCCCAGCAATTTCTGTGTTTGTTTCTGATTTCCAGCATCCGCAGCTCTTTGTTTTTCTTTAACCAAAACTGTGTTGTTGGCTTAATGTTGAACAGTATGCTAGCCATCTCACTAATTGAGCAGCCAGTTTCCTTCTATCATTTAATTCATATTCAAACAGAGAAATAAAAATAATCAGAAAAATGTTAACAAAATAACGGGAACAAACTTACGGCTCTAGATTTGCATCCAGAGAACTATTTGTTGTCCACTGGAAAACAGCTTCATTTGCCCGATCATTGAGTCCAGTCCAAAAGACTCCAGTGACTTGAGTTGTAAGCCAATCCTGTAACAAAACAAATACTTTTACCATTATAAGTCAGATGAACTGCCTTATAGAGGCCTAAACTGGGTACACACCATACGAACTTAATCAACCTGATTGGCTTTGGGAAACTACTTGCTATGCATGTCTGTAAACTTTGGTTGGACATTATATGCAATATTCGGCCTCTTTTATGTATAGAGGCTTTATGGCTTTGAACAGTATACCCCATAGACACCTTTAAATTTAGATTCAACTTGATCATTGAGCTGCAGGAAATCTCTATAATATTAGAATCATAGAAAGAGGTCGTTCAGCCCATCAAGTCTGCACCAATCCTCCAAAGAGCATTTCACCCAGACCCAGTCCCTTACCCTATCCCTGTAACCTTGCATTTACCACGGCTAATCCACTTGGCTTGCACAGCCCTGGTCACTACAGACAATTTATAGAATCACTGAATCCCTACAGTGTGGAAACAGGCTATTTGGCCCATTGAGTTCACACTAACAGTCCGAACAACATCCCATCAGACACACCCCTACCCTATCACTGTAACCCTGCATTTCCCAATCCCTTCCCTACCCTATCACCTTGCATTTCCCATGGCTAACCCACACATCCCTGGACATTGGGCAATTTAGCATGGTCAATCCACCTAACCTGCACATCTTTGGATTGTGGGAGGAAACCAGATCACCTGGAGGAAACCCATGCAGGCAAGGGGAAAATGTGCATACTCCACACAGACAGTCGCCTGAGGGTGGAATCAAACCCAGATCCCTGGTGCTGTGAGGCAGCAGTGCTAACCACTATGCCACTATGCCACTGTGCCACCCTACGTTTCTTGAACAGAAGCAGTTAAGTAGGCATACAAAAACAAGGCTTTATTAGATCGTTTCAATTTTTGGATGTCTGGCCAGTGTTTGCTATTCTGTTATGATGGCAAAGAGACCCTAAAACGTCAGGGGTCTCTCTGCCAATTTGTTAGGTGCGCTACAGGTATCTTAAGGCAGTTAAGGCAGTTCACTGGATTAAGGGCTCCTACCTTTGATGAGAAGCTTTTAACGAAGATAAATTGTAGGGGTGAGGTGGAGTGAGAGGATTGCGAGACAGAGTCCTCCAGCTTCAGTGGCCTGGATTATTTCTATCAAGAATCAGTTCCTGCTGTTCTAAGGACAAGAAAAGCAATTGAACTACCTTTCTAACTAATCAATGTGTGAGCATTGTACAGACCAATGCTCGAAGTACACAGGAGCTGTAGGCAAATTCATCCTTGAAAGTCTCCCAACTACGCAGGAAAATTTAATCATGGGGCAAATATCAGAGAAAAGCGATTGGTTTCAGACAGAATGTGCAATGAGATGCTCTTCAATAGAGGCTGGTTCTCTCTCATATTTGTTGCTGATAGGTTCTCAAAATGTCTGACATACAGGGATTAACTTGATGTACAGTATCTGTGTTAGAGATGAACATGCAACAATTTCGCTGTGGCTTCACTAGTCTGCAGAAATGTGTTTATAGTGTTGGGTTTTGTGGAGATGCGTGTACCAGTTATTTTTAAAAACAAAACTTTTGTTGCTAATTTATATTGTTCTGTGTCAGTTCAAATACTGTGGTGTACAACTTTAAATGGTTTCTTTAAGTGTCGTGGCTTTAAGTTCAATTAAACAATCATGATTATTCAGGATATTGTGGTGTTCTTCTAATTCTACTTTGTGACAGACCAAATACACCTTATATCAACATAAATATGAAGGTGTCATGACCAATTGAGTAGAAATCAAGCCCGCTATTCCCAGAGTCATTACAAAAGTTAAAGATGTTTTTAAAAAATGCAAAAATTCCGCAATTTACCCATCTTCTAGACCCAGATTGACCTAATAAATATTACTGTATTTTACAGCTAATTAAAGTCTAGCTACAGTAAACAGTTATGTATCATCAGCATATAATGCTACTAATTAAAATTTTAATCCTCTTATAAACTCCCCCTTACACACACACACGCATATATACTCAGAAAGATAGAAAAAGAGGGGGTTATGGATGGGAGAGTAATTTGGAAAAACAGTCCAGTGGTTCCTGTTCACAAGAATTGTTGAGATGGTTATTAAACACTGCTTCTCAGTTGTCCTTCTCCAGATGCTTCCTCTGGCTTACAAGAAGTATAGGTTGGCTTGTTCACTTATAAAAAGATCTATGACATTTCAATTAAATGTCACAGCTTACCGCAACTGCTAAAAGAAAGATAAATCAGTTTTCTTCAGCATTGAAGTGGCTGATGGTACAGAAAGGAAAGAGATATTCTGTCTGATGGCTTCTCTGTATCTTGTTCTCAAACTCAAACTGTTGAATTACCTGACAGCTAACCACACGATTGGTGGCAAGCAGAAGGCCTTTGTCATTGATAACTGATCACTGGTCCAAAAACAATCTTGTTGCTGGCTCTCTTCCACGAAGGTGGGTCTTGCAGGTCAAGTTGGATCTTCTCCTGGGTCTTCTTGGGTTGCCAGACGGTCTTTCACCATGAGTCCTTCTACAAATCTTTACTGGGCAGGTGGCTTCCAGGCGTTTGTTTTTATCCCCCTTGTCCCGGACCCTTCCAAATGTTCTGGTGGCCTTTGACCAATGGGGTCATGAATGAGGTTCAAAGCATCCAATGGGGTCATGCCAACATTCTTCACTGCTGCCATGCCAGAAAGGTATAAGGTGTATATCCTCAGGCATTGGCTAAATTGCCCTCAAGCCTCTTTGGTGATTAACAACACCCAACAGAGTAAATTCATACCACGCAATAAGATTGTTCCATCCTGTACTTATTTTAACTTGGCATCACTACTCTGAGCTTCAAATTTGCTTTGGCTCACAGTGACCTCCTTAGAATGGGGGTTGACATGGTTCTTCTTCGTGGGCACGCTGCTTAGCCAATTCGTCTGCCTTCATGCACCCAGTTTGGGAGGTTCAGTGGTGGGCTCTAACCTTAATGATCCATATTCACAGTCTCGGGAAGTTTGGAAAATAAATTTGAGCAGGGATGCAGATAGTAATAGTTTCCCGTCTGCCGAGATGAATACACTAGCTTCCCAGAGTGGCAGGAAGTCAGTTAAACTATTGGAGACATAAATGCCATCTGAGTCTATGTCTCTGGTGACCAAAATTTTCTAAGCTGGCTGATCATGTAGGCTACAACTGCTAGCTCAACAGCCTGAGTGCTCATTTTATTCTCAAGCTTCAGCTAACTCTATTATGGGTTATATGTACCACATCCTGTCTTTTGGTGTCCGTCCTCCACCATGGAGGATCTGTCCACAAATATTCTTATGGTGGAGGCTGGGGTCTCTTTTGCTCCCCATGTTCCCTTAAGTCTTCCCCTGTTTTAATGTGGCAGAAATCGTCCCTTGGGGAAATTTGTTGCTATTACTGGACACTCATGGGATTCTCGTCAGTAGCTCAAATTGCCAGCTAAGCAGGTGGGCACTTTAGTACCTTTGACTGCAATGTCGCCACCCTCAAACATTAGGGTGCACTATGCAGTTTTGGCTAACCATGAATCTTTAATCCTGCTGTCCAGCAAAAATTGAACGGGGATGTGCTCCATCAGAATTGTGGGGCGGGAGGTCAGGCTGATAAAATTGGCAAAGCATTGTACCACCCAAAGCACAGCTAGCAAGTGCTTCTCACGTGTATAGAAGCCCTACTGTACTGGCAAAAGAGTCCAAGAGGCATAGGCTATCAGTCTGAGTTTATTGTATTGTTCTTGGAGAAGTATAGCTATCAGTATGGCATCTGTAGCTGTAACTTCCAAGGCAAAGGCAAGTTCTGGGTCTGATACCTGCAGTGACAGAGGCCTGCGCTAACATCTATTTTAATTTGGAAACAACATTCATGTACTGTTCAATCCATTCGCGTGGGGCATTGTTTTTAAGACGACTGGGGAGTGAGGCAGCATTAGTGGCAAAACTATCGATGTGATTCTGATAGTATCGCACAACGGCCAGAAATGAATCAACAAGTTCACATTCCTAGGGAGGAGCAAATGATTAATGGCCTCAATGCTTTTTTGTTTCCCCTGAGCTATCACAGTTCCCAAGTATAAGGCCTGGGACCTCATGATTTGTGCCTTCTTGGGGTTAACTTTTAATCCTAGGGTGATGAGGAGGGTTAATGGTTCCAATGACAGTGTCGAATGTTTGATCCTTGTCTGTCCGCAGAAGGAGATCGTTCACGTCCTGTACCAAATGGTCTGGTTGGGAAAACCACTCTAGCCCTTTAGCCAGCCTCTAATGAAATGTTGATGAAAAATTATGAAAACCCTGGGGCAAGCACGTCCATCTGTATTGTTGGTCCTGAAATTTGAAGCTGAATTTATATTGTCAGTATCGGTGGAAGGGGATGGACCAAAAATCATTACTAATGTCCAGTACAGTCAAATATATTGTCTGTGGGACCTACCTCATCATAATTCCAGGGCCATTCACAACTGTTGGTGCTGTGATTGGGGTGGTTTGACTTATTTCCCTGTAATTGATGGTGAGCCACCAACAGCAGTCTGGTTTCTTAACTGGCTTTATTGGTGAATTATTGGCAGACACCACAGGGGAGTTTGTTTGTGACTGCTGAACGCACTCTTGTGTTCTGTGGGAATTGCCTTTGCTATTGGGTTCACAGTCATTTTGGTGGGTCAAATCCACAATTTTGCTATAGTACAAATTCTCTGTGTGTATGTGTCTGTTGCAATCTCTGCTGGGCCTCATCAAGCTTGAGCATTTGCCAAATACAACATCTGGCCAGCTCAAAAGATAAAAGAGAGAGAGACAGACAAGAGGTTAAATGGTGGAATTTCCTCCATTAAATTTGGCTGCATGATATCTTCTCTACCAAAATAATTGTTGCTTGTCTCTCTGGCATGGACAACATGGTGGCTCAGTGGTAAGCGCTGCTGTCTCACTCTGCCAAGGATCTGGTTCGATTTCATCCTTGGGTGACTGTCTCTGTGGAGTTTGCATACTCTCATGTCT